TTCTTAGTCCTTAAACCGATATTAAAAAAAAAAAATTTTAACCTCCTGAGTTGAGAGATGTCTTTTGAATTGTATAAATGAATGATTAAATAAATGTAATCAATTTGAGGAATATTTATTCCCTCGCTTTTTTTCATTTATGTTTCAGTTTAAGTGTAGGTACTTCTCGGTGGATCATTCTCTTCCTGCGCTTTGGTTGAATCCAAGTGAAAGGGAAGTTTCGTTTGTTTTCTACAAGTACTCTGAATTTCTGTACACCCCTGTCACATAACTCCTTCAGTTGACAGTCCCATGCTTTTGGTCCTTGCTTTGTTATTCACCAATGTTCTTCTCAACCCTATCTGCCTTTATCCCTAAAATAGTACGGCATTGTTAGTTGTGATCATTTTAAGCGAATTTTAAGTAAAAACGCGAGCCAATTTTAAATCGATTCCAAAGTGGCTTACCTCTAAACGTTTGTTAGAGAATTCTTGAAGGAACTGCATTCAAAATTTTCCATTCTGAGATGGTCGATATTTCGACCCCTGTTCATGTCAGATTTTTCCAAGTTTGCGATAATGTCCCTTTGGGTGTCCCTCTACTGCAGGTCTAGATCCCAAGTCTTGGCCAATTGTAATGCGATTCCAAAGTGGCATACCTCTTAACGTTTGTAATAGAATTCTTAACGGAACTTCAATCAAAATTTTCCATTCTGAGATGGTCGATATTTGACCCCTGTTCATGTCAGATTTTTCCAAGTTTTTAATGATTTTTAACGCGACTTAAAAAAATTTAAAAGAATTCCAGTTTTGGTATGTGTGCTGTGTTCCTCCTCTATGCTTGGTATTTATAGACGTTTATACAGCAGGGGTAAACAATTTAAGACCCTTGTTGGATCTCAAACTAAACTTCACCTGGCGTACGCTTCATTGGAGAGCGCTTAGAAAAGTTTTTAATGGACCAACTTTAATAAACGCCTTGCAGAAGGCGAAGAACGAAGATGCGCTGTGAATTTAATTTTCAACATGTCTGACATTCCGTAATTGAAAGCACAGACATTGACACTTGACACAAACACCCGGAGCAGTTCGCCGATGGGGAAAGGGAACTGGTTTTTGGCCTGGAGCGGGCGCTGCGTATGGCGCATTACTAATACGCAGTGTGTGACAACCACAGGAGACAATTTGGCAGCTGCCAAAGGGTTGGCGGCAGAAACACAGGCTGCCAAACCCAGACACATGGGAAAAGGGAAAGGAGAAAGGGGCTGGGGAAAGCGGCAAAAGGAAAGCAGAGCGTAGGCGGCCACCGGAAAGGCTGCTGCCGTTGCAGTTAAGCACTCTGCTCTGTCAGGCACACAATACTGTGGGGTCAACAGCCACATCACGCCTTAAAAGCTTTCTTTGTTACTCAATAACAGTTTCCCAGGCTTACATAAGCAGAACAAGAGAAACGCAACCCCTTCTACGAGCGTTTATTGGTAAATTCATTATTCAAATGTGCAAAATATTGGATACAGTTGATTGGTCTCATCTGAGTTAATATTTTGGGTTGCAATTTTTTTTAATTAAGCCTTTTGAGCATCAAATTAGGTCTGTGGACTCATAGTGCACCAGCTCCGTTGAAACAGGCAGAGCCACGCACTCAGTAATGCGAGATGAAGGCGTGACGGAATCTGGCCTCCATACCTATTTAGTTTTACAAATGTATATATTTTCGAATGAAGTTATTGCAACAGGAATATACCTTAATTTGCTTTGGTTTTGCCTATTCTAACAAGTTGCTAAACCCAAAAACAAACAATCTTTTTACTCCCTTAATCTGTTATTTGGACTCAATTTAGATTTCGAAAATCCAAGTTACAACTTAAGGGTGTTCCACTCACGCAGACATCTCTTGGCCAGATCCGGAGGCATCTGCAGGCGCACAAGCATTGTGGCTGGCTCGAAAAACCAAAAATCGTGAGCGCAGTGGCAGGATTTGGCAGGAGTGGGCGGATTGGCTGGAGGGAACGGCAGGAAGGGGAGGAGGAGTGGCGTGGAGAGGAGTGGCCTTCCTTTCCTGGCCGTCCATTCATTCCCCGATGCTCGAGTGGCCGCAGGGCAATTGGATATAATTTCTAATTACACGCTTGGACGGACTTTTTACTGTCAGCTTAGTTTACTGATGTCTCTATATTTTGCTCCTTGTGCTCGCTACATGAGGCGATGTGTGTGTGCTCTGTGTAATTTGGTGAATGTACAAGTGTAATTTGGCATTTTGATTTTTAATTGTTTGCCCATACAGCTGGCAGGCATGGAAAAATAATTTGCACAACTAGTTCTCGGTTCTTTAATTAAGACAGGACAGTTGCCGAGCAGCAATTGCGCAGCATTGTAATTGTGGAAATTACAAAACCTACACATGAAATTTGCATATTATAATTCCGGCTGTAGTTGCAATGTAGTTTCGCTGCAACACGAGTGAATAGTACATCCAGTGACAGACGACCCTCATCTTGTCCTGCTGCTGCTGCTGCTGCTGCTGCTGCTGCATCTTGGCCATAAATTGCCGCTGCAATTGTCGTAGCTCTCCGGTCGCACTGTTTTTCCGAGGATCCCGCTCCTTCTCTGCTGCTGATGTCAACACTTGAACACGCGCGCCAGCCACACAGCAAAAAGCGCCCGGAATTATGCAACAGATTCTGCAATTTTTGGCCCAGAAGCAGGGGAGTTTATTTTTGCGCAATTACAAAAAACGGCAAAGGAGTAAAAAACTGACATAGCCAGCTTCAACTGTCAACTGTCGCAGACACTTTTCAGCCCTGCGAGTGGCGTCCTTTTTGTTGCTGTTGCTGTTGCTGTTGCTGTTGCTGTTGCTTTTGCTGTTGCTGCTGTATCTCAGATGTTGCTGTTTCACGCCATTATTTCGCAATATGATTATTATGCGAGCGCCAGAGTGTTGACGCTGTCACGTTTTTCAGCCATGTCAAGTGCAACTTTTCGCGGGACGTAGACACGCGATTCACAAAAGTATTGTGTACTCTCGCTAATTAGCCCATTTCCCTTAGCACAGCCTGCGATTGTTCGTAAGCCCAAAGCCATCGTGGATAAGGGAAATTAAACAGTTTCTAGATTATGCTGCCCAGGTACTGAAAGGCGAAATACCTGTTTAATCTATTCAGTAAATAGTTTCTAATGGGTGTCGAACAAGTGGTATATTTTGTCAGGTAACTGGCACAAATAAAGCACACATGGTTCTGGTCTTGGGCTGAACCAGCATAGTCCGCTCCTTCGAAAGGTAAACTTTTGGAGTTGACCGAAGTGGTCAGCACTCGCCACACTCTACGCGACCCTTCCACCTCCCCTGATCCAATCCTCTCCAGTGGCGACCCTCATCAAAAACGATTTAGAAGCAGAGCGGCCGACAAAGTTTTTCCTACTTTTGGCAAATGTGCAAATAACAAATGATTTCGGATCTGCCATCAGCCACTTGTAAATAACCCGTTTGTGTGAGCACCAGCATGTTTGTCTGCCTTTGTTTTTTGCTCCTGTCATGGCCGTTGTGCGAGCATTTCCCCCTGGCCAAATCAAACGTAAGCCACAATTAAAACATAAAAATACCAATGCGATTTCGCTTCTGTTGTCCAGGGACGCCGTGTTTTTGTGTGTGCGCTCTGCTTTACACACATCAAACATTGTGTAAGCTTTTCCTCGGCTGTCGTCTTCAGTTCACACAGCCCCGGGTCATAATTAGCTCGAATTAGCTGAGTCTGGCGCTGCACTTGGCAGGTGGGGTCCTATCGCCAGCCCACACCCCCGATACCCTATCCTGACCCTCCTCCTGCCCCCTCAATCTGGTCCGGGGCATTGTCCGGCAACTGAGCCTTAACACACCCTGTAGACATTACAGGAAAAGCATTTCAGGAGAGGCACAACGATGAAGAATGTTGCAAGATCAGAAACAAGATAATATAGGACTAATATTCTAAAGGGTAACTTTTTGGCGAGCAGTGGCTTCTGCTCAAATGGTCTTCTCGATGCGCACTCAGGCGGAACCCAAGCGACGACTCCGGAGATCTGAGTGGCCAGTGGAGCCACCGATGCCGAGGATGTCTTGTCATAAATCCGAGCACTCACCGCCGAGGCTGTCAGTAATTAGCGCTCTGAACGCCACTCCGTGCTGGCCCACAAAGCTAACGAGTCACTTTGTAAGGAGGCCAGATGATGGGTGAACGGGAGCAGTGGGGAAGCGCGGGCGGAGGCATCTGCAATTAGTGAGCAGCTCTCGGGACGGGCGCATTTAGTGGCGCCTCCCCTGCTCTCTGCTCCATCTCTGGTGCAAGTGGCTCCGGCAACATGACACCGTTTTGGAGGACGCTCCGCCTCGCTCTCGCTCTCGCAGGAGTGACGGGTTGACGGCGGACCGACTGGCTGACGGACGGAGTGACTGCGACTGTCTGATACATTCATTTATTCGCTCTCGAGCACGTTCTGCAGCCACTCGACTCGCCAAGCCCATCGGTGGTGCCAAGAAGTGCTCTTGCTCCGAGCTCCTCCCGGACGTCAGAAGCCATCACCTTTATCGGTGGCATCGCCATCTCGCCGCCCGCAGGAGCCCGGACTGCCTGCCAAGCCGGCCATTTAGACGTGGCTGTGGCTGTGACAATATTATGACTGCTCCGAGGAGCAGGCCACCCGGGTGTATTGTAATTCATAATCCTGCGATTTGCTTGGCGGAGGACACAGCGCCTTACTTCCCATTGTGGTTGCCCACGGCTTAAGTGGCGTCCTCGTCTTCGTCTTCGACTTGGGTCGAAAATTCTGACATTGATTGTGCTTTTGCTCGGGTTCAGCTGCAAGCAGGAGGCCAGTTGACGGGAACAGTGGGGGGAGGGGATCTTAAGCCGTTGAGCACTGAAAATATTTACCCTGGCTGCTAAAATGCCCCTCGAGAGGCGCCTGGGTTGAGTGCAGTGGCCAAATCGGCGGCAAGGAAGGATTGCGATTGTATACGTATTGCTAACCCAAACAGAGTTTCGGTAATTTCAATTCATTTGGTTTTATTATATTCTCCTTGCCGTATCTCTATACAATCCATACACTGCATCGGTATCTTTATTTGCTTAACTAAAATGTACACACAACGGAGAAAACAATCTCGAGAAGCAAGTCATATCGTATATATATAGTCAATAATACGACCCACGCCTTTGGCTGCGGGGCCTCGTATGTACAGTAATTTACACGGATATTTAAGCACATTACGAGTAGTTACCCAATCATCGTTCCCACTATCCTGCATCCTGTCTGCAGCTGTACAGTAACTCGTTCCCTTATCAGTTAGGTATTTTAATTATTGTTCTTTCTGTCGCTCCTCCACTGATTCTATCTGTATCTAGCTCAATCTTTGTCAGCTCCGCTTCGGTATCTGTATCTGTATCTGTATCGGTACTGTATCGCTATCTATTTGTGACATTCTTGGTCGCTGCTTGGATATTTACACGGCTGCCAGCTGCTAAATGATATACATATGTATCGAAGTCCTTTGTATAAATTCTGTAGAGTTATCTAACGCTCCTCCTGCCCTCCTTTCCCTCCTTTCCCTCCTCTCCCGTACATATAAAAATATCTCTGCTCTGTGGCTAATTAACTTTATCATCAGCTGCTCGGCGAAAGTGGCCGCCGCAATTGCTAGACATTCGTCACTCCCAGCTTGGCCAGGTTGCCCAGCGTGATGGCGTCTCCGGGCTGGAGTCGCAGAGCCGCCTTGTAGCTGGCAGCCGCGTGGTTCGTGCGTCCCAGCAGGTGCAGGATGGCCCCCAGATTGGTGTGGGCATGGGCGTCGTCCGGTCGCAGAGCCACTGCCTGAAACGGGGATACATTTGGCTTAAGAGGGGGTTCTCCTGGAGCGGATCGTCAGTTGCTCACCTTGCGGTACCACATCTCCGCCTCCACCTTCCTGTCCAGCAGCCGCATCGCGGTGGCAGCTGCCACCACCAGGGCGTAGTCGTTCGGCTCCAGCTCAGCGGCCCTCCGGTGATAGACGGCGGACTCGTGGTGCCGCGACTGCAGCGAAAGGAACTCGGCTAAACGGTGGGGGGAATATCAATTAAGGATGGTCAGTTGCTGGTGCTTACTTCAATAGTGAAAAAGATTTGAGTTCTTTTCCTATCTCTATAGTTAGTCAATGACATGGTTTAGTACCCACCGTAGTGATGGTAGACGCTGGCCTGGTCGGGCGCCAGTTGCAGGGCCCGCTTGAACCACATCTCCGCCTCCGAGGCTCGGCTGCTCTGCACGGGAAAAGCAGGACAACAATTAGCATTTTGTTCTCTCAAGCTCTCAAGCGATGGAAGGAGCACCTACATTTCTGGCCAGGGTGATGCCGTAGGAGATGTGGGCGGCCACCTGGTTGGGCTGCAGCTCCAGGGCGGCGCGGTGGTGGCGTTCCGCCTCGTCCCACTGCTGCAGGCGGCCAAGGACGTCCCCGATCCGCTGGTAGAGCACCTCCCGCTGCTGCGGCAGTCCCGGCAGGGAGGACAGGGCCTCCCGGTAGACCGCCAGCGCCCGCTGCAGCTTGCCCTGCTCCACGTAGAGGGCGCCCAGCTGCAAGTAGGCCGAGCTGCGCGCCTGGTCGTGGGCTCCCCGATCTCGGACGGCGGCCCCATCCAGAGTGGAGCCCGCCTGCAGGGTCTCGATGGCCTGCTGGCGCTTTCCCAGCGCTATGAATGATATGCCCAGGTTGAGGTAGGCCACTGTGGGTAACGAGTAAGCATGAGCTGCCCCCTAGAAGCTGCAATGTGTGGTTGGTTACTCACCCGCCAGATTCGGTCGGAACTTGATGGCGCGCTGAAAGCACTCGACGGCTGCCGGATAGACCTGCTGGTTCTGGTGCAGGATGCCCCTGAAGCGAGAGCGAAAGTGTTGACATTAATAGACTGAACTTGCCGGCTCTCGTGATCTAATTAGAGCGCCTAAATCGGGCAGACTGGCCCCCTTGAGGTTCCCTCGAGCCCGACAAGTCGAGTGCCTCCGGTTGGAGGACTGTCACTTTGATGCGCAACTAGCACTCGACTGGAGCAAACTTAAATACCCCCCCGGACTGCGGTTAGTTTCTCTGAATTTAAACGCTACTTTTTGTAATACAATTTTGTGTTCCAAACCTACTTTTTCTGCGGTGCATTTGGGTTCGTATAATTAGTTTGCTACTGTCGAGCAGGCGGCTCTTAAAGTGTCGACTGCTTGCACTTTTCGCAACCAGGTTCCAGGCAAAAGGGAAGTGGAGGGTCCTTTCACTTTTCACAACAAGTGCAGCAGCCACAACAACAATCCCGAATGTTTGACGTGCGGTAAAGTAAAAAATCAAATTACACAGCTCAGTGATTTGCTGGTTTCGATGTTTGGCTGCTCCTGCCACTCCTCCCACTCTTGCCAGTCCTGCTGCTCCTGCAGGTCCTGCTAGTCCTGCCGCTCCTGCTGGTCCTGCTGGCAAACAACGAACTTCGGGAGGCGGCAATCAGTCAAGCAAGCAGACCGCCGCGAGCATTGCTGCTGATGATTTGATCGCAGTAAATAATGTATGTGTGTTGTGTGTTCGCGGATGTGTGTATCCGCAGCTTTTCTGGGGGAAGGAGGCTGCTGCGAATGGGGCAGGGAACATTGATTTTCGATTAGCGCGTGGTTCGCTTTGCAGGCAGCCTGTTGAAGGGTTTCCGCAGAACACACAGGACACGCAGGACACACATAATGGCAGCCTTAGCAGTGTGACCTGGTTCTTGAGGACTCCGGCATTAGCCGGCGAAGGGAGTGCGAATCGGGCAAGGTTAGCAAAAGCAATAATCTGGCTTGCGACAAGCCGCCTGACGTTGACAGACAGACAGGCGGTAAAAAGCAAAACCCGAAATGACGCACTGAATATTCAAAGCGCAACTCCGCGCTCGCTTTTCTTTCGCTTTTCCCCAGCTTTGTATTTCCGCACTCCCCACCCCCCGCTCTCCACTCCTCACTCATTCTACTGCTACTTCTGCTGGCTTTCCTTCTGTCCCGTTATGTCGCATCGCGTCGCGTCGCTGCTGTGAAATATGCGCAATGAGCAAAAATGCAATGCGAACAGACAACAGACAAAACACAGAGCCAGCAGAGAACCATAACTATAAGGAAGAAACAGAACAGAACAGAACTGAACTGAAAACAGAAAGCAGAAAACGACGAGCTTACAGACTTTGTCAGACGTTGACAGAGGGACAGAAGGACAGAGGGACAGAATGACGGACGGAGAGAGTGTGAAAGCTGAGAGCCTTTGCCGAGCATCCTGGATGGTGCACAGACAAAATATGTTCCCCTCTTTCAATGGCTACACTCCAAGTTAGAATAACTTTTAGTTTCGACTTCAAATCAAGGTGCTTTCAGATATGTAGCTTTGTTCCGTATACAACTTTTACTTGAACTAAACTTTCATTTTATCCACAACACTACTTTCCATTGTTAGGTACCAGAGAAAGTACCTCGTTTTCTCCCAGTGCATGCCCGTGCATCACAAAATGAGCATAGTTCTGCAGCGGCACGCAAATGCCCTGAGCTGGATGGAAATGGGAAAACGAGACGAAGGATCCAGTGGCAGGACGACTTGGAGGATTGCTGCGTGTCTCGGGTAGCGCAAGAAAGGAACTGGGCTCCATTTGACAGCTTGTTCGGCATTGTATTGCCATCTCGGGGACGCAGGCTCATAACCAGGATGCTGTGCTGCATAAAATGGCCGCGCTAAATGCGCACCCAACCGAAGAGTTCTCTGGGTGGAGGATGGGGACGGGGGGAGGGGGAGATATAGTGCCCGATGTAGGGGAAAACGCATAAAAAGATAATGAATAAGGCTGCCATTTATCGCATTGCTTCTGCCTGTCGCATGTGGGTGGGCAACGTAATGAGGCCAGTTCCGGCTTACACTACTGCAGAAAAAAAAGGTACAGGTCTGTTAGAATATGTGCGTTAAGTGCCTTTCCTTTACCCTCTTTTACTAAACAAGTTTTTCAACATAACAACATATTAGTATTTCTATCGAAAACAAGGCCAGAATGACTGTCACTATAAGAGTCCTTTCCCCACTGAACCGTTTCAAAAGAGGCATTCTGAACATTCGCTAAGTGGCTTTCAAGTGATCTTCGTATTCAGTGGTCGGTTACTCACAGGTTGAAATGCACATCTGCCATGTTGGGCCGGTAGCGAATAGCCTCCTGCAGGACCTGCTTGGCCTCCTCGTATCGTCCCTGCGAGCTGAGCACGCTGCCCAGATTGCCCAGCGCTGAAAGGAAAGGGAATTGGAATTGACGAAGGTTCGGATGCAAGGAATCGGGGGAGCACTCACCCTTTGGCGGATTGACGGCGATGGCACTGCGGTACAGGCTCTCCTCGTCCCGCCAGTCCGCGTTCCTCCTCAGGGTGCGCAGGCTCATGGCGGCCAGGAGGACGCTGAAGCTCAGGAGGAGGGCACAGCGGGCTCTCGGGGAGCAGGCCATCAGCCTGGAGACGCCGTAGCCCACCAGGAGACAGAAGCCCACGCTGGGCAGGTACAGCAGGCGCTCGGCCACCACGAAGCCCACGTAGAAGAGCAGGTTGCTCGCGGGCAGGAAGGGCAGGACCAGGAAGCCCAGGGACATGACCACCACGCAGGCGTGCCGGTTGCCGCGCGACATCCCCTCCAGCGCGTACTCCCTGGAGGAGCAGTGGAAGCCAGAGCTCCCCGCCGAACTCGAGCTGGAACTGGAACTGGAGCTGGAGCTGGAACTGGAGCTGGAGCTGCTGTTCGTGCTGTTGCTGCAGCTGCTGCTGCTGCGGGAGCCGCGGAAGGCGGAAGACACTAGGTGATGGGGGTGGCTCTGGGCGGGGGACGGGTTCTGGTTCGGGTTGTGGTTCTGGTTCTGGGTGTGGGAACCGCCCTCGTAGACGAAGCCGCTGCTGTTGTTGTTGCAGTCGCGGCAGGGAAGCGCCTCCTGCTGGCGGTAGGCCGCCTCGAAGGCCTGCAACTTGCTGCTGCTGACCATCCGCTTGCGCTTGGAGCGCGACTTGCGACTGGGCACCTTCTGGATGTGGTACTGCGGGAAGGCGGCGGCCACTCCACTCCCTCCCGGCAGCTCCTTGGGTCCGCTCAGCAGCTGCCGCCAGCTGCGCCACGCCACGCCCACCAGCACCGAGTAGAAGCAGGCGGACTGGGCGTTGCGGCGGTCCCACAGAGAGGTCACCCTGGGCAGAGCGTCCATGCCCCAGTCGAAGCTCAGGACGTTCGGCTGGAGGAGCAGCCGCAGGTTGAAGACGGGCAGGTAGAGGAAGGTCAGCAGCCGCGTCCAGGCGGAGGGCGTCCTCGCGATCGGGTTGTCCGCGCTGGAGAAGGCCGTCTGCGGTCCGGGGACGACGACCAGGCGGCAGTAGACGCCGCAGAACAGGGCGCCCATCACAATGCACACGGATCGAAGGCGTTGCTGCGGAGGAGGAACACGATTGCATTTGCCGCACTTTAAACATGCAGGACTCGAGCAGAAACAGTACTCGTAACCACTGGCAAGTATGGGAACTGTAACTCACCTTGTCCACCTGTCCGCTCAGACCGCGCATCACGTCGAAAAGGGCGCAGGCGAGCAGGGCGGTGACCGCCGTCTCCTTGCAGAGCAGCCCGGCGAGGGCCAGGAGCAGGGTGGCGCCCAGGGCGAGCCACTGGCGGGGGTCCCCCGACTCGCGCCACCGCATGTGCCGCAGGTAGCTGAGGTACGTGAGCAGGTAGCAGACGCAGGCGGCCACGTCCGCCCGGCCCACCACCCCGGCCACCGCCTCCGTGTGGATCGGGTGGACGGCGAAGAGGGCGCCGGCGGCCAGGACCGCCCACACGGAGGCCATCAGCGTGCGGGCCACCCGCACCACCAGCGCAGTGGCCACGCAGTGCAGCAGGTTGTTGACCAGGTGGAAGCCCCACGGCGCGAAGCCGCCGGCCAGGAGATAGTTGAGCCGGAAGCTGAGCACGCACAGCGGACGCCACGATCCGTGGGAGCCGCTGTCCGTCAGCGGAGTGCCCCAGAAGTCGCTCGAGAAGCTCCGCTGCCAGGGGGATCCGCCCGAGACGTCCGCATTGGCCAGGATTGCACGTCTGCAAGGAGAAAGATTCGAATTGTTCGGATTATTAGAAAGGAACTCTAAAAATATCCCAAAGATTACATTACAAGTACTCTTTATTTAGCAAAAGGTTTTATCGTGATTTTTGTTTAAAAATTCGGTTATTGGGATAACTTTTTAATTGATTTTTGCTGAGCACAAAAATCTCTTCTGGGAAGGATAACGACTTCCACTTCATTGCGAAGATCATCGACTGTTGCCTGTTCGCATAGAAGTAGTTGGGTAACTACGCGTAGCAGTCAGCGATTTGGTCTTTGGCGGAAGTCCTGCTCCGTGGAATCCCCTGCGATTTCTCCCTCGGAATTTCCACTCTGCCACCTGTGCAACCTGCGAAGCACGGCAGGCGGACTTTTGTAGGATTTGGGCCGGGTGTTCGTGACAACGACGACGGCGGTGCCAGCAGCTCGTATATCATGGCAAGGCCGGGGAGGTGGCCCCAAAGCCGCCTGCCCCACCGCCAGTGGTCCACATAAACAAATGCCACTCTAATGCCGCATAAAGTCGGTGGAGAAGTCGTTGCTATTAGTGAGTGTGTTTGTGAGGGAGAGAGTGAGTGTGTGGAGCGTTCCTGGCTGAAATTCGATTTTAAGCGCCGGTGGAATTCCATTGCAGCATCACGGCATGCCGCAGGCGACTTTCCCCACCCACTTCCCCGCCCCTCCCTCTCTGTACGTATAATGTTACGCAATTCAGGATGTGCTATCGCAACTTTAATAAATTTGCCTCGGAGCCGCCGCCTCCTCCATCTCCCCGATTCCTCGGCCGTAATGACTCTTACCTGTCGTCGTAGACGAAGCCAGCGTTCAGGGTGTTCAGATATAGGACGAAGGCCAGGCTGCAGCAGAACAAACACGTGAAGTCCATGCTGAAATGGAGGGGAAGAGATGGGGGAATCGATTAGTTTCAGTTTGCCCACAAGCTATTACATAAATATTTCTCCATAATTCATGATTTTATCGCAAAACTAAAAGCTTCGGTTTACTCAAAGTCTAACTTAAACTGAAATGTAATTTAAATTAAATTTTTAATGAATTTATAAATCATACAAAGATCTAAGGGCTATTTAAAGCGAAAGTAGAAGTGCGTTTCTGTGAGTGTATGGCTTATATAATGAGCCCGTTGACAAGCGAAAGTTGTGACATTCATCCGAGGTCCTTTCTGAGCCCTGTTTAACAACTCTGGATCATATTTCCCATCTCAGGTATTCGTTGGCTCGCTTTTGTTGTTGCTGCCGCCAGCGGCAGTAAGTAACTGCTGGTAGCAGCTTTTCCTTTGCCTTTCCCCTGCTTTCCGCTGGCTTTTCATTCCTTTCGGAATCGGCCTGCAATGTGCAGGTAGATTGCATTCATGGCTTCCTCCTTTTTGGGCATTGTTGTCATTTCGGACTCCTGACAGCCGTTTTTGTTGCCGCGCCCGTTCCGCCGCCTTCGTTGTTGTTTACTGGCCGTTGATGATGTTGCTACAGCCATTACACATAATGAGAGTCAGCAGACTGTTGCCGTTGCATTCGCTTATCCCGTTTCTCCTCCTCCTCCTCTGGATTCTATGCACATTTGCTGCGGTTGCCAGCGTCACCAGTCGGACTCTTCCCCCAGAAGCCCACCCACACCCTTTCCACCCAGCATCGTTGACATCAGAAGTCGCAGCAGCGACAGACAATAAAGGCTATCAACGAGCTCGCCGGCGATGTTTGTCCAAAAGCCAGCATGTGTGTGGGTGGCTCGGTGTCCCCGCAGCATAATGGACACATGGGATCCTCTTTTACCATCCCCAATCTGAATAGCATACAACCGTTAAATGCAAAAGGGCTTTATACTAAGAAATGAGCCTAACAACTCCAATAATGAAATGCCGAAGTCATATACATAAAAGTATTAATAAGTGGAGAAAAAACAATACTCTAACCGACTTCAGAGTGGCAGCTCCCCAAGTAGAACCAATTTCCGCCACCCCCCCTTAATGTGAAAAAGGGCCGCTCGCTTTCTTTTTTCGGCACAAAAGCTTGTACATGCGAGTAATAAGCAGTTGGCTTAGGCCTCGCTAAGTCCTCGAGGGGAGGGGACTGTGGGCGGCATAGTTCTGTCGACGTTGACACACCGAGAGATTTGGCATTGTGCGCGGGGTCCGGGCCTTAAGCGGCTTAAGCCCAAATTAGCAGCATTCAATATGCGAGTAAGCCGCAAAGTAAAAATGCGAAGAACGAAGGAGGAGCCCCATTTACTGCACAGCCGCCAAAATTGCTTTGCTAATGAGCCATTATGACGAGCTTTGCCCTGGGCTCTTTCCTTCGCCTGGCGAGTGTTTGCCTGATTGATTTGCCTGCAGTTTGTTTCCGAGCCATTTGCTCGGGGCCATCTCATCCGGGGTTTATCACTCGCAACTTGTCAACTCGTTTGGCGAACGACTCGCATACCAATTATCCACAAATAATAAAGCTCGACTCTGGACTCGAGCACTATAAATGAGGAAGACGGTCCTTTGTTAGCTGATAGATACATTTCCTTTCTTTCCTTCCACTCAATCTAGCTTCCCCCTTCCACTAGCCATCCACCCACACACATCGTGGCCCTCTTCGGGCGCCGGGCCATAAATCATGTTTTATTTTCGTAATTAGCCCGGCCACCGCATAAATAACGGGCTTTTCATTGTCTCAATTTTCGCTGGCCCTCCCCGTGGGCCTCCTTGTTTGCCTATTTAACAGTTTCAGGTTTACGAGTATTGTTGATTAAATTTCCACTTTGTCTTATTACTTGCCACCGTCGCACTTTAAATTGTTTGCTCACAAATTGAGTCCTGGCACTTGCCATTCTCCATTCGCCATTCTCCATTCTCAATTTTCCTTGCCTTTCCACTTGGCTCATGCCAGTTGGCACTTTTGTTTTTATTGCCCTGCCACCTGCCATCCTTTGCTGCTGACCTAGTAAATTGTGTCGTCTAATGGTTTTTCTTTTCACCCTCAGCCACTCCCCTCGCGCTGTTTTTTCATCGCTGCGTTTGTTTGTTGTGCCTTTGACAGTTTCCGCTTCCGTTTGGGCAGGTGTTTGCCTGGCCAACCCAGAGTTGCCACCTAACTTTAGCCAGCGAAGGTCGCCCTCCCTTGGCTTGCCAGGATGCAGCTGGAATGTGTGCCGATCTGCTCGAGCCGATCCTTTTAGAGTCATATGTGCATTGCACCAACTAGAATTATTGAAATCCACAATCGATTTCATGACTTCACTAGTTATTTGACGTTTTTATGCCATCGCTACTTATCAACAGGATGTTTATATACCATTGCTGGAACTGTTCTCATCGGGATAAAGTAGCCTAAGGCTGACCAGCTGGAGTCCTTCTGCAGACCACAATTAGCCAGCAGAGTGTGTGTGTGTGTGCCTGCCCACCGACTTTGGGTATTAAAATTCTAAATTAATTGCCCGGCGAGTGGCGTTGGATGGCCCAAATGCCAAAAACAGCAGCGCAGTATGGAAATTAGAAGCCGGCGAGGACTCCGTAGACTAATAGACGTGAAATTTAAGCGCATTGAATTAATTTACCCCCTCGCACAGCCCACACGAATAAAGTTATTTAGGGCTGGCAGCAAAAACTATAATTAATAGGCGTTTTTATTTCGCTTTGCTTGATTATGCATAAAATTAATTATATGCCGACACCTGCGGCCCTCGCAAAGGGGTTAGCCACCCCCACCGCCCAACACCCACAGATACTTGGCCGCCTTTTTTTACTCCCCCGAGTGGTAAGCAATCATTTGCCGCTCAAACTGCCGTCGAATAAAGCTGAAAAAGGGCAGACTACAGTTGAGTAAACCTGCCAAAAGTGAAAGTTTATTATTATGCGGTATGCAGCGTTGCCTTGTGAATCCACACAGTGCATTTTAAATAGGCAGTTTCAGTTTCGGGAGCCCGGCTCCACTCACCACCCTCTCCGCCCGACCGGACATCAAAATAATGAACGGAAAGGCAGCCATTTTGGGAAAGTACCGTAAAAATACCGAAAACGTTTTAAAAATGAAACGATTACACCATTGCGGCTTGCAAACGACCAAGTTATGATAATGTTTGGCCAACTAAACTCGTTTAGCTTGCCAAATACGAGTGTTCCACCCGCCGTTACCCTTTTCCCACCGAAAAACGCTGCAACAGCGCTGTTGGGTTCGCAGTGCAAGGTAAGCCCCACAGCAACTGCTCCACACATGCAAACAAGTGGGGAGGACTGGAGTTGGGAGTCCACAGTCGGCAGTCCAGAGCCCTGAATCCTGAGTCCTGAGTTCGGGTCATTGAGCGCGTTGTGGATGCAGCCCGGCCTGACTTTCCGGTCAGCTTTCGTTGGGGCGGACTGCCCTTGCTAATATTTTTTGAGGTATTTAGAACCAGAGCTCTGTGGGTGTCTTCGGCCCAGGGAACCAGTATGACTGTTTTCGGGCTTCAAGTGCACTTGCAGAAACCCCTAAAGTTTCCCTATCATGAACTTTAAGGTACTTTCACTTTTCGACTTTTAGTAATTCGATATTAATGAGTACTGATAAAGTCATTTTCCACTTACATATCGTGTTTTTGAACGAACATATTTTCTCTTAGTGTTGCAGTCGTATTCCAACCTAAGCGAGCGACAGACTCAGACTTTTGGCACTTTTATGCTAATCACAAAAAGGCAATTTCCCGCCCACCCACACGCACACTCACATGTGAGAATCATGCACACAGACTTGCCTTTCGGAGGCGTGGCTGGTTGAGGAAAACTTTTTGGATTTTGGCCATGCAGTAAAGTTTTTGTTCGCTTTGGGGGTTATTCTCCGGCTTCGGTTTAATAGCTCGTTGAACATTTGCCCAGCGGTTCGTTCAATTGAAGCACCCCGCATTCTTCCGTGAAAACCTATCTGAGCGGCTTTTGGCGAATTATGAAAGTGCCGCAGTTCCGCTTTGGGGCTCAAGTTGCAGCGGAATTTGAATACGAATCTGGTTTCGATCAGAAAACCAAGGGCGCTATTCAAAAAGTTCAGCTATAAGGTACTTCAAAGTAACTCTGTGGTATCGCTGCAGAATTTTCCGCTTTTCCGACAGAGACTACTGCAGCTCCTTTGGCCACCGTATATAATAATTAGGTAATAATTAGCATCTGCCAATTAACAGGGTTCGATACGCCCTCAAGTTCCGCCCGCAATTTGCCGGTCCTGAGTCACAAATTCACAGCCATAATTTAATTTAAATGCCCAAAACTGTAAATCGTTTAATTATGTATTCGCCGGCACACACACTGACAATGGGGAAAAAACACTTAGCGGAGGGTTTTGGGAAGGAAGGATGCTTCGGATTTACTGTTCCAAAATGTTTTGGCGCCCGAAAAACAGAGCTAAAACCCAAAAAACGGAATCCAAAGAGTCTCGATAATCGCGCTCGGAAAATTAGGGCCGGAAATTTCGGGGTTGAAACGGGAAGCTGCGGCCTAGTTACGAATTGTGTTATAGTTTGCGTAAGTGAGCTTGTGTGTTTGAGCTGCGTTAATTGAATGCGCAACTGTCGTGCGTTCTCCCTCCCCTCTCCCTCTTCCCTCGTCGCCCTTCCTTCTTCCCCCTTTCGCCCCTTCCTCACCCCGCACCTCCCTTCTCCGTCATTTGCGTAAGCCTGTTGAACAATTATAACTGGAATGTCCAAATGCCAAGTGCCTTGAAATTGAGTCCGACGACCAACGTGGCGTATGCGTGTTGCTCTATATGCTAATTAAAATGACATGTGTCTGTGTGTCTGTATGTGTGTGTGCTAGTGTGAGTGTGTCCGTGAGTGAGTAGCTCGTTGTCTGTCTGTATGTGTGCGCTTTGTGCTGTTTGCATTACATAATTATAATTACGCATACGCCATGTTGGCGCGCTTT